CAATCCTAAGCTTGATGTCTCTTATTACTTCCAACAATTGTTTGAAAGCAGAGAGGCAGAGTTCACACCTGTTCGCATGGCATAAAAAAACTAACTGGAGGGCTGTTCCTGGCTCTAATGTTTATACCATCCTCTGCTTCGTCCCCACAGGCCACTGAAAACACCGTGGATTATTTAATAGTGCTGTATACTGATGGCAGGCTACAGTTTCACTGCCACTTTATGATCCAACAACGGGAAAACTATCTTTCAGCTCAAAAGACGGGGAATGAATAAAGAAGAGGCATCAATCATCGTTGTACACTTATGCTTTGCTCGCCGTTGCCAGTTCCTTATTCCGTTGCGAGGTGAACACAAGTCACGGGGCAAGACAACCTCGCTGTGTACATTAAATCTACGACTGCAGATAAACTGGCCAAAGCTTGGCCGGAGATTGCTTTGATTTACGGCGTAATTACAGAGTTTTTCTGCAGCATTGATATGCCCGACTGTCTGTGCCTCAGTTCTTGTGTATGGTTAATAACAATGAAGCTTAGGTCTGCAGAGGCAAGCAGACAGGTCTGATGTTACCGGTGGTATGATGTGTGTGGTGGCATATCTCATGTAGCAACCACAAGTCATATAGGCATGTTATATTACACTGCAGTCTCCAGTATGTCTGAGCATCCCGGCTGAGAGAGTAATCAGATAAGATAATGTAGTCAAGAGAGAGAGAGAGAGCAATGACTATAACACTCATTGTCAGGCTGGCAGTGCATCCCTGGGAGGGACCATCTATCACTCTCAACACTCAAACTCACACACACAGTCACACACACTTAAACGCACACCCACACACAAAGTTAGGCTGAAAGGACGAGGCTGTGAGCGTTGGTCGCAGACAGGGAGGATGTTTATAAAAGCCTACCAGGTTCATTGCATCTTTCAGGTTGCATTATGGGTGCTATCTAATTGGTGGTGGTGGAGGCAGAGGTGGGCCTCATTGGAGGTTCAACCAGAGGCTAGCAGTCTCATAGCATCGGAGCAGCTCGTATTTCACTGCGCTCAGTTTGCTAAGAGGGTCAGTCTGTCTGTCGCTAATACACATGGGAATGTGAGCACGAGCACATGCATATAAGCAAATGTACCTGCACATATTTATAATAACAGGTAAAAGTTCACAAAATAATGGATATGCAGGGAGACCACAGTCACATATAATAACAGGCTAATATACAGATGTAATTTGCATGTGCCAAGACACGCATGCGCAGACACACACACACACACACACACACACACACACACACACAGGAAGTTGACTTTATTAGGTTTCAGTGAGCTGCAAAGGGATAACTTACCCAATAATACGAATTTGTTGTAGATAACGATGCACAGTTCACATTAAAGGTGTCACTAATTTGAAATGGGCTCTTAATGAAATGAGAAGATAT